GAGCGGCACGTCTTGCTCTTCATTGTAATCAGAGGGCTGATATAAATACTATGCATACCAGTCTCTCTTGGCTAAGAGTTGAGGAGAGACTGACTGCATTACTTAACATTAATGTGTTGAAAATCTCAAATTGTTTGCATAGTCAACTTACACACAGTTCTGACACACACACTTACCCCACAAGACATGCCACTAGGGGTCTTTTCACAGTCCCCAAATCCAGAACAAATTCAAGAAAACGTACAGTATTATATAGAGCCATTACGCACGGAACTCCGTTCCATCTCATATTGTTCAAATGAACAGCAAAGCTGGTTTAAAAAACAGCTAACACAACGCCTCTCCCCTATTTGACCTAGATAGTTTGTGTGTATGTATTGATATGTAGGTTACGTGTGCCTTTAAAAACAAATGTATGTAGTTCTGTCCTTGAGCTGTTCTTGTCTATTAATGTTCTGTATTATGTCATGTTTCATGTTCTGTGTGGACCCCAGGAAGAGTAGCTGCTGCTTTCGCAACAGCTAATGGGGATCCTAATACAATACCAAAAAACGGTTGTTGAATACTTATTGACTTAAGACATTTCAGCTTTTCATTTTTAATTAATTTGTAAAAATTTCAAAAAACATAATTCCACTTTGACATTGTGGTATTGTGTGTAGGCCAGTGACAAAAAAAATCTCAATTTAAATCAATTTAAAATTAAAGCTGCAGCACTACAAAATGTGGAAAAAGTCAAGGGGTGTGAATACTTCCTGAAGGCACTGGATATAGGGATCAACAAGTAGAGTGAAAATGACAACTTATCATGCATCGGTGCACCGCCAGAACAACAGAACTAGATATGCTAAAGAAAATCTAACACACACACACACACACGCGATAGACCCTTCATGCATCACATGATAATAACAATCAACAAATAATGAAGGGATATTTAATCATATCTACCCCCAACACATAGTGTACACGAGCACAATAACTTACAATAGCTACAATATTTAAGACCTGCAAAATGGTCAGTGGATATTGAGTGTGCTTTTCTCTGTGTGCCTGGGAAAAACAGGTGCAGCTCTCGCTCTTGACGTTTAAAAATAATTTTAATTAGAAGAATTTGACATCATTGATGTTTCAACCATCTTGGCCCTTGTCTCTGCCTGGCCTGTCCTGTCCCATCTGTAGCCATGGTGATGGTTCAGCCAGGCCCTCTGTAGTACAGGTGCACACAGTCCCTTCTTCTTCTTCTTCTTCATTTCTTCTTCTTTGGAGAGAGCGTTGAGCCAGGAGAAAGAGAAGCTGAGACTAGTGGACTCCCTGGAGGAAGGAGAGGAGGGGGAGGAGGAGGGGCCACCTATCTGTTGTGTGGGGTTGCCTGACCCAGGACCAATCTGGAGGGAGAATGGAGATGGACAGACGCCTTCAAATGCAAGGTGCTACAGATAAGGGATGCATCATGTCCGTAGGCCAGTAAGCTACTGGAAAGGTCACATAGGCTATTCAAGAGAGCACACAGTTAGCCACGAAGGCATTACATAGAGACACATAGAGATACTAACCATGGAGACATTCATGTGTTTATAACAAACAAAGTAAATAATGATGTCATGCAGCAAGGAGCGTCATGATTCAATGGACAAGCGTAAGTGAATGCAACATTTTTTTTTGTGAGAGCACAAAAACCTACTATTTAGACAGCTCCACAAGTCCTGACCACTTCTGACCACAAGCTTCCAGTTGGGCTGAGATAACAGAAGAGGGTTGGAACTTGGACCATAAGGGAACCATAGTTATGAGAAGAGGGTTGGAACTTGGACCATACAGGATCCATAGTTAACAGAAGAGGGTTGGAACTTGGACCATAAGGGAACCATAGTTATGAGATAGCAGCAGCAACTCAACTGTGAAGACATACTAGACCAGAGTGCCCCATTATATATATGTTATTTTATTTTATTTTGTGTGATTGGGTTTGGGTGGGATGCTTCTCACAAAGCAACATTACACAAATAGGAGCCACTAGAGATCCTGGTTCGAATCCAGGCTCTGTCGTAGCCGGCCGCGACCGGGAGACCCATTGGGCGGCGCACAATTGGCCCAGCGTCGTCCAGGGTAGGGGAGGGAATGGCCGGCAGGGATGTAGCTCAGTTGGTAGAGCATGGCGTTTGCAACGCCAGGGTTGTGGGTTCGATTCCCACGGGGGGCCAGTATATTTTTTAAAAATATATATATAATGTATGCACTCACTAACTGTAAGTCGCTCTGGATAAGAGCGTCTGCTAAATGACTAAAATGTAAATGTAAAATGTTTTAGCCTTACATTTCTACCAGTGCCACCCACCCGACTGACTGCCTGTGATACCACTCTATGGCCACAAGGTGGCAGCAGTAGTACTGCTGTTGGGGCTAAAATGTGTGTCAATGCTCTGCTCAGTCCCTCCTCTCCCTTCCTGGGGGCCCACTGAAGGGGGACTTCTCTGCTTGTTCCCCTACTCAGATGGTAGCCAAGAATAAAGAAAACAAACAACATGAGTGATGCTGCATCTTCAGACAACGTCATCAAATATGTCGGATCGACGTTGCAAGTCACAACCATACGACAAGCCTTGCTGCAGCTAGCAAAATGCTAATCATCTCAGAAAAACAAACCATACTTGCCATCTGCAGATAGAAAAATGTAGTTCAGATTACAAGTCAAACATCCACTAAAACACCAGTTTGCTGACCAGCCAGAAAACCGATGACTCCAAGCTGGTAATTAGAACGATTGCCTGTCAATTTTCCAGCAGTTCCATGCTAACCAGTCAATATTCACAGATAAAACTACTGGACAAATTGTATTTCTTTCTTTCCCGGAATAAATACCCATCGAAAAAATCCCCAAACATCCCAGGGACATGATGTGATGGTAGTTATTCATAGTGTCCTAGAATAGGAGTGGTGGTCTAAGATCCCGTCCAGATAACCTTATTCATTATTATCCAAAATACCAAAAACTTGATCCTAGATAAGCACTCCTACTCCGAATCCCCTGCCCAGTCGACCCTCCGTGTTTCACCAGACCAGTACCTTAGTAGTGTGATCCTGCTGCTGTGCTCTGCTATATACGAACAAAGCTCTTGATGTGGGCCCACGCACTCTGGAACATGACCACCAGGGCCAGGACGAAGAAGAACAGCGTGACAGCCTAGGGAGAGAGAGATGGATGGAGAGATGGAATTGATGAAAGAAAAGGGTAGACAATGATAGAAAATTGAGGAAAATACCTGACAATGACAGAAATGCATGGGGTTGGAAGGACCATTCACAACACAGGGCCATTCACAACACCGGGCCATTCACAACACCGGGCCATTCACAACACCGGGCCATTCACAACACCGGGCCATTCACAACACCGGGCCATTCACAACAGAGCAGAGGCATTGACAGTGACAGCCATGATGACTGGAGGAGTGACTGGATGAGGAAGACGAGGAGGAGGAAAAAGAGGAGGAGCAGTGGATGTGGAGCTGGTGGTTGGTGATTGGTTGGTTGGTTATCATGGTTGAGACGATCTGATTGGATCAAACTGACCTCTTGAGTTGGTGTGGAGGTGGAGGTGGGGGTCATACCCCTGAGGACCAGAGCAGACAGGTATTGGGAGGCTTCATGGAGGAGCTGCAACCAGGGACACAAACCCCTGGGCGTCCTCCTCCATGAAGCCTCCCAATACCTGTCTGCTCTGGTCCTCAGGGGGTTCTGGGGGCATGGGGACAGGGCTAGTATCCATCCACAGAGGTCTGGGTTGGGGCAGGATAGGGGGATACTGGGGTTGGGGCTGGGGTGGTCGAGCCTGGTGCTGGGGCTGAGGCCGGGGTTGGGGCTGGGGTGGTCGAGCCTGGTGCTGGGGCTGAGGCCGGGGTTGGGGCTGGGGTGGTCGAGCCTGGTGCTGGGGCTGAGGCCGGGGTTGGGGCTGGGGTGGTCGAGCCTGGTGCTGGGGCTGAGGCCGTGGTTGGAGCTGGGGTGGTCGAGCCTGGTGCTGGGGCTGAGGCCAGGGTTGGGGCTGGGGTGGTCGAGCCTGGTGCTGGGGCTGAGGCCGGGGTTGGGGCTGGGGCTGGGGTGGTCGAGCCTGGTGCTGGGGCTGAGGCCGGGGTTGGGGCTGGGGTGGTCGAGCCTGGTGCTGGGGCTGAGGCCGGGGTTGGGGCTGGGGTGGTCGAGCCTGGTGCTGGGGCTGAGGCCGGGGTTGGGGTGGTCGAGCCTGGTGCTGGGGCTGAGGCTGGGGGTTGGGGCTGGGGTGGTCGAGCCTGGTGCTGGGGCTGAGGCCGGGGTTGGGGCTGGGGTGGTCGAGCCTGGTGCTGGGGCTGAGGCCGGGGGTTGGGGCTGGGGTGGTCGAGCCTGGTGCTGGGGCTGGGCCTGGAGCTCCCTGGCTAGTGGGAAGATGCTCCTTCTCCCAGCCCCAGGTACCTCCAGTGCCTCTCAGGACCACCCCTCTTTGGGGCTAACCACTGCCCAGCCATGGTTGTACCAGCTGGGGTAGAGTCTAGTGTCTTCACTGGCCTCAGCCTGCAGGTCCTGGAGCTCCAAGTCACCTCCTGCATCATGCTCCTCCTACCACAGCTCTGGCTCTGAATCTGGCCCCGAGTGGTCCTTGTGTACAGTTTCCTATTCCCTATATAGTGCACTACAACTAAGAACCCGTCTCTGGCCAAAAGTAGTGCACTATTTAGGGAATAGGCCTGGGTGCCATTTGGGACACAGCTGGGACATTTAAAGCAAGACAGCGTGTTGTCTATCAGGACACTGTGACGCTTTACTCTGTTGTCTCTCTCAAAGAGAGACATTGTTAGGGCAACAATAAAATGAAATCCTTTGTTCTCAGTTTTTCTGTCAATTAAAAAAATCACTAAGTATTATTCATATTCTCATAACATGTCTGAAATGAATTAATGTTCGTAACATAACATGTAGCAATTACATACATTAGTCCAATAGGTGAGGAGATAAATGTAATGTATTGCGTACTATACCTGCTGTGTATTTAAGCCCTCTTGGTCACAGAACTCCTCTTTCTGCAGGTCTTCATCACACCCCTCTGCCTGACCCCTGAACTGCTCGGTCAGCTCTGCTGGGTCCTTCAGTCCCCAACTTTCTCCCACTGTCTTCAGCTCCAACACAGGCTCTGCATCCAGGACCTGACTGGATGCTGACTCTGGTTCTAGAACTTCCACTGGCTCTAGAACTGCCACGTGTTCTGGAAATGCTACTGGTTCTAGAACTGCCACATGTTCTGGAAATGCTACTGGTTCTAGAACTGCCACATGTTCTGGAACTAGCTGTCGCTTTTGCACTGGCACTGGCTCCGGTTCTGTCTGTAGGTCTTCCATCAGCACTGGCACCAGCACTGGCTGTGGCACTGATTCTGGCTCTAGTTCTTGCACCAGTACTGGCAGTGCCACTGGTTCTAGAACTGTTGCTTGTTCCAGAACGGGCTCCGGTTCTAGATCCAGAACTGGTTCACATTCTGTTTCTGGCTCTGGTTCTCCCTCCTCCTCCACTACAATGAACAGAGACAATAAAACAGGTTAGCTGTGTCTCTACTGCTGCCGTGGAACATTCACACAGGACATCAGTATAACACACTATCTGATGGCCAATGGTGCTCTGGCTAAAAATAGTGGTGCTCTATATAGGGAAAAGAATGCTACTTCAGACGAAGCCATGGTACCTTTGATGAAGTCCAGCTTGTACAGAGCCCTCTTCTCTGCGTTGAAGTTGACCCTGTAGTGGTCCATGTTCTCATAACCAGGCTCCAGGGTCTCCACGATGCAGGTACTGGATGCCTCATTCACCCTGGCAAGGAGAGGGGGATATAGATGAGGTAGCAGAGAGAAGGACAGACAGAATGTGGGACAGACAAGAGTTTGAATGAGACAGAAACAAAATAGAAAGTCTGTAAAGTATCAACCAGCAGAACGGCTTAAAACTTACCAAACTTCTAACAAATCTTACTTCTTATTAGTTCCTTCTTATTAGTTCCTTCTTATTAGTTCCTTCTTATTAGTTTATTAGTTCCTTCTTATATTAGTTCCTTCTTATTAGTTCCTTCTTATTAGTTCCTTCTTATTAGTTAGTTCCTTCTTATTAGTTAGTTCCTTCTTATTAGTTCCTTCTTATTAGTTAGTTCCTTATTATTAGTTCCAGATTAACAATAAGAGGGCACTCACTTTACAATCAGGTCTTTTGCAGTCTGACAAAAAGGGAAAAAGGTAATAAGATTAAAAGCAATTCACATAAAAGACATGACAACATATTCCAGTATGAACTCCCGAGTGGTCTAAGGCACTGCATCGCAGTGCTAGCTGTGCCACTAGAGATCCTGGTTCGAGTCCAGGCTCTGTCGTAGCCGGCCGCGACCGGGATACCCATGGGCGGCGCACAATTGGTCCAGCGTCGTCCAAGGTAGGGGAGGGTTTGGCCGGCAGGGATGTGGGTTCGTTTCCCACGGGGGGCCAGTATGAAAAAAAAAAAAAAAAAACTAAAACAAACTAAAAAACATAGATGCATTCACTAACTGTAAGTCGCTCTGGATAAGAGCGTCTGCTAAATGACTAAAATGTAAATGTTTTCCTATCAAAGTGTATCAATATTGTATTATATTGTATTGCATCCATCAACATTGAGGAATATACATCGTTAGTCACAGGCTTCATTAGGAAATGTGTTGATGATGTTGTACCCACAATAACAAACCGGACATGCCCCAACCAAAAACCCTGGATGAACGGAGATATCCGTACCATGCTGAGAGCCCGTACTGCAGCATTCAATGTCAGCAGAACGAACCCCGACGGCTCGGTGACGCACGGCGCATACAAGACAAGCAGGTACGAGGTCCGCAAATCAATTAGGAACTCAAAAAGACAATACAGACTCAAACTTGAATTGATGTTCAACAACTCAGACTCGCGACGGATGTGGCAAGGACTACAGACCATCACAGAATACAAAGGCAACTCCAGCGATGTGGTTTCCCACTGAAGCCTCCCTCCCAGATGAGCAAAACACATTCTACGCTCGCTTCTATCGAGCCATCCAGGAAAACTTTTGCTGCTCCGGACGACCAGGTGCTTTCGCTCTCCGAGGCTGACATGAGGAAAACTCTCAAAAGAGTGAAGACTCACAAAGCTGCCGGCACAGATGGCATCCCTGGCCGCGTCCTCAGGGTGTGTGCTGACCAACCGGCGGGCGTCTTCTCTGACATCTTTCAACCCTGTCCCTGTCCCAGGCTGTAGTCCCCACCCGCTTCAAGGAGACTACCATCGTCCCAGTGCCCAAGAAAAACAAGGTGACATGCCCAAATGACTATCGCCCCAATCGCACTCACCCCCGGTCATCATGAAGTGCTTCGAGAGGCTGGTCATGGCCCACATGCCTGGCACACTGGACCAACAACACCACCACTCTTGTCAAGAGGGCTCTACGTCCTATGGCAGTTGAAGAAATCCGGCATGCCACCCCACGTCCTCTCCAAATACTACCGCTGCACCATCGAGAGCATCCTGACCAGTTGCATGACGGCCTGGTACCAGTTGGCCCAGTACATCACTGGGACCGTGCTCCCACCCATCCAGGACATCTACTCGGAACGGTGCCTGAGGAAGGCCAGCAGCAGCAGCATCATCAAGGACCCCTTACCGTCGGGCAGACGGTATCGGAGCATGAGGTCTGATACCAACAGGCTCAGAGACAGTTTCTATCTACAAGCCATCAGACTGCTGAACACTTGAACTGGACTGACCACCTGCTCTGATTCACAACACCTTAGCACACATGCATTCACGCACACACACGGACACACGAACACACACACGCACACACACGAACACACACACACACGAACACACACGGACACACGAACACACACACACACACACGGACACACGAACACACACACAGACACACGAACACACGGACACACGAACACACACACACACACACACGGACACACGAACACACACACACAGACACACGAACACACACACACAGACACACGAACACACACACACACGGACACACGAACACACACACACACGGACACACGAACACACACACACAAATGCTACCCACACATCACAACTGCTGCTACCAGACTGTATTTACTGTTGCTAATACTGCTAAATTTAAACACCTGCCCCCCAATCTCCCCCTTTCCTGATACAGGTGTAAATATTAGACTATAAATGGTTCCTTCCTGTATTCTACTGATGCTAACATGTTTATTCTGTTCTACTGAGACATTCACTTTATGTTCCTATTCTTATCTTTCATTATTTCTTATTGTTGTTGAATTGTCCAGAAGGAACCTGCAAGGAAGCATTTGGTTGGACGGTGTACAGTATACCATGTGTATCCTGTACATACTACTAATAAAACTTGAAACTATCGTACTGTATTGTATTTTTCTGTGTCGTATCGTACTGTACTGTTCTGTACTGTATTGTATTGTATTGTATTGTATTGTATTGTATTGTATTGTATTGTATTGTATGGTATCGTACCTTCACGAAGGCAGCCATCTCCGGATCCTGCATGGTGGCCATGGCGGTCTCCACCAGTTTGGTGTTGGTCTCTACACTCTCTCCATAGGATCGCACCAGAGAACGGGCGTGACCTGTCCTCTCCTCCTGCTCGTCCGTGACTCGCTGGGTCATGATCCTCCGTCGCTCCTCCAGGATGGCGAGCATGCGGTCGAACCTCTCACACACTGTCTGCTTCTGGGTCTTACAGTTCTCCTGTAGAAAATAACGGACATGCGGGTCAAACTTTTCAGACGTCCTGACGACTTTAGGGGACCATTTTAGGACGTTTCCGGAAGTCGTAAGGACAACTTTTGTTAGCGGAGTATTACTGATCAAAACGAAGCAGCACTGAACATTGTATGGTTGTGCATGACAACACACCAGACTAGAACACAAAAGGCACTAACATTCTTTATGACTGAACAACTGGAAAAGTATAACTCATAGATTGTATTATTTATTTATAGACTGAGTAGAAACAAAACTTCAGCTGTTGATTTGGATTCTTGATCTCATAACTGAACAACGCAAAGCAGCGCTCAACACTTCATGGGTGTAAAAGTCGTCCCTGACAATACACCAGAATAGATGCAACACAAACAGCGCTAACCTCAACATTCTTGCAGGTCACCTCCAACTCATTGATGAAGGCTTGGACCTGGCCGTTCGACGTCACCAAGGAGCTAACCCCCTCACTCAGCTCAGCCTGTTGAGGGAAAGGAGAGGTTTTACAGAGGAATCACCTTAGCTACTGTAAACCATGTGTAACTGGTGAGTCGGAATAATTGTATTTTCTATTCTACATATCTCATGATATCATCATACATCTAAAGTGGAAAGGTTTCACAGAAGTAGAACATGTAACTAACTGCCTGTTGAGCCAGACTACTTTCTTTCCTAGTCTCATATGATCCAGGATGAGACCCCAAATATGTTACAGCACAAGTTAACCAACGCTTCCAAAGGCCCATCTCTACACCCAGCTATCATCCCACAGAACTTGTCCAATAAGAAACACTTGGTTTCGTTTTTTTCCGTTGTGAGACGTTTTGCTACGGTGTGCCCTAATGAATACTACCCAGGTGAAAGTTGCCGCCTGTGATGTCATCAACGTGCGACCCCCTGCCTGGCCTCACTCACTCACCTTCTGCTGCTGGTAGACCTGTGTTAGTGGTGCCACCTGGCAGGTGTTGTGGGCACCGAACACCTTGCAGAGGGAACAGGTGGGCACCTGGCAGGTGACGCAGTAAATGTTGACCTTCTCACCGTCGTGCTCCTCACAGGTGGGCTGGCCCGCGGGCTTGGACGACGTGGATCTAGAACTAGGAGGATTGTGGGAAGGAGATGAGGAGGAATGTCAGTCAGGATTAGGAAGCTAAAGTAAAAACTAAAAACGCCCTCTAGATGTAATTTGTTGATCCTCCTTTCACATCCATATTTTGAAACCTCCAGGAGAGCTACCCTCATTCTACTCCCGCACCTGCTGGACTCATATTTGTAGACGTCACTAATATAGTCCACCAAGTGGAGGGTTGCCCTGGCCACTCGTCTAATCCCATCCCCTCCCTTACCAAAGCTCTATACATTATAGACCTCTGACCTCACCTGGTGGACTCCTGTTTGTAGACGTCAATAATATTCTCCACCAGCAGGTTGCGCTGTAGCCCGTAGACACCGTGGCGGTCCAACACAACTTCCTGGCTGCAGGACGGACAGCGGAACCTCCCTCCAGACCCCACCTGGAACAGAGAGGGCTACACACTTTACTCAGCATGCCGTCCATACACACACGCGCACACACTCAGCGATGCACAAAGTAAACAGCTGTATCGGGGCCGACTTCATTCTGCTGCTCAGCAACGTCATATTGCTGAATCTCAGTTTAAATATAGAACATTATATATACACTGAATGTACAAAACATTAAGAACACCTTCCTAATACTGAGTTGCACCCCCCATCCCCTCCCCTCCCGTCAGAACTGCCTCAATTCGTCGGGGCAAGGACTCTACAAGGTGCCTAAAGCGTTCGTTGACATTTTAGTCATTTAGCAGACGCTCTTATCCAGAGCGACTCACAGGAGCAATTAGGGTTAAGTGCTTTGCTCAAGGGCACATTGGCAGATTTCACCTAGTCAGCTCGGGGATTCGAACCAGCAATCTTTCGGTTATTGGCCAAACCTCTTAACCGCTAGGCTACTACCCAGTGTTGCACAGGGATGCTGGCCCATGTTGACTCCAATGCTTCCCACAGTTATGTCAAGTCGTCTGGATCTCCTTTGGGTGGTGGACCATTCTTGATACACACGGGAAACTGCTGAGCATGAAAAACCCAGCAGCGTTGCAGTTCTTGACACAAACCGGGGCGCCTGGCACCTACTACCATACCCTGTTCAAAGGCACTTAAAACGTTTGTCTTGCCAATTCACCCTCTGAATGGCACACATACACAATCCATGTTGGCAATTGTCTTAAAAATCCTTCTTTAACTTGTCTCCTCCCCTTCATCTACACTGATTGAAGTGGATTTAACAATTGACATCAATAAGGGATCATAGCTTTCACCTGGATTCACCTGGTAAGTCTGTGTCATGGAAAGAGCAGGTGTTCTTAATGTTTTGTACACTCAGTGTGTGTGTATATATATATATATATATACCAGCTTCATGAGGTAGTCACCTGGAATGCATTTCAATTAACAGGTGTGCCTTCTTAAAAGTTAATTTGTGGAATTTCTTTCCTTCTTAATACGTTTGAGCCAATCAGTTGTGTATATATATATATATATATATATATATATATATAAGAAGGAAAGAAATTCCACAAATTAACTTTTAAGAAGGCACACCTGTTAATTGAAATGCATTCCAGGTGACTACCTCATGAAGCTGGTTGAGAGAATGCCAAGAATGTGCAAAGCTGTCATCAAGGCAAAGGGTGGCTATTTGAAGAATCTCAAATATAAAATACATTTTGATTTGTTTAACACTTCTTTGGTTACTACATGATTCCATATGTGTTACAGTGAGGGAAAAAAGTATTTGATCCCCTGCTGATTTTGTACGTTTTCCCACTGACAAAGACGTGATCAGTCTATAATTTTAATGGTAGGTTTATTTGAACAGTGAGAGACAGAAGAAAATCCAGAAAAACGCATGTCAAAAATAAGTATTTGACCCATCTGCAAAACATGACTTAGTACTTGGTGGCAAAACCCTTGTTGGCAATCACAGAGGTCAGACGTTTCTTGTAGTTGGCCACCAGGTTTGCACACATCTCAGGAGGGATTTTGTCCCACTCCTCTTTGCAGATCTTCTCCAAGTCATTAAGGTTTCGAGCCTGACATTTGGCAACTCAAACCTTCAGCTCCCTCCACAGATTTTCTATGGGATTAAAGGTCTGGAGACTGGCTAGGCCACTCCAAGACCTTAATGTGCTTCTTCTTGAGCCACTCCTTTGTTGCCTTGGCCGTGTGTTTTGGGTCATTGTCATGCTGGAATACCCATCCATGACCCATTTTCAATGCCCTGGCTGAGGGAAGGAGGTTCTCACCAAAGATTTGACGGTACATGGCCCCGTCCATCGTCCCTTTGATGCGGTGAAGTTGTCCTGTCCCCTTAGCAGAAAAACACCCCCAAAGCATAATGTTTCCACCTCTATGTTTGACAGTGGGGATGGTGTTCTTGGGGTCATAGGCAGCATTCCTCCTCCTCCAAACACGGCGAGTTGAGTTGATGCCAAAGAGCTCGATTTTGGTCTCATCTGACCACAACACTTTCACCCAGTTCTCCTCTGAATCATTCAGATGTTCATTGGCAAACATCAGACGGGCCTGTATATGTGCTTTCTTGAGCAGGGGGACCTTGCGGGTGCTGCAGGATTTCAGTCCTTCACGGCATAGTGTGTTACCAATTGTTTTCTTGGTGACTATTGTCCCCGCTGCCTTGAGATCATTGACAAGATCCTCCCGTGTAGTTCTGGGCTGATTCCTCACCGTTCTCATGATCATTGCAACTCCACGAGGTGAGATCTTGCATGGAGCCCCAGGCCGAGGAAGATTGACAGTTCTTTTGTGTTTCTTCCATTTGCGAATAATCGCACCAACTGTTGTCACCTTCTCACCAAGCTGCTTGGCGATGGTCTTGTAGCCCATTCCAGCCTTGTGTAGGTCTACAATCTTGTCCCTGACATCCTTGGAGAGCTCTTTGGTCTTGGCCATGGTGGAGAGTTTGGAATCTGATTGATTGATTGCTTCTGTGGACAGGTGTCTTTTATACAGGTAACAAACTGAGATTAGGAGCACTCCCTTTAAGAGTGTGCTCCTAATCTCAGCTCGTTACCTGTATAAAAGACACCTGGGAGCCAGAAATCTTTCTGATTGAGAAGGGGTCAAATACTTATTTCCCTCATTAAAATAAATTTTTCTGGATTTATTTGTTGTTATTCTGTCTCTCACTGTTCAAATAAACCTACCATTAAAATTATAGACTGATAATTTCTTTGTCAGTGGGCAAACGTACAAATTCAGCAGGGGATCAAATATTTTTTCCCTCACTGTATTGTCATAGTTTTGATTATTCTACAATGTAGAAAATAGTAAAAATAAAGAAATACCCTTGAATGAGTAGGTGTTCTAAAACTTTTGACCGGTAGTGTACATACATATATATATATATACATATATATATATATATATATATATACATACATATATATATATATACATACATACATATACACTCAGCATGACGTCCATGCCGTCGGATTGCTGCACATCTCAGAACATTGCTTTATCATAGTAATGTGGTTCCAGAGACTTCTCCAGGTGCTGTGAGAGCAGCGACTGCAGTAAGGACGACCTGGAACCTGCCCACTGTGCTAGACAACATCAACTGATCTTCCCTCCGAATAATTACTAAGCATTGAGGGAATAGTCTCTCCTCTCTGTAAACAACTCTCAGCTGTTCTGAAACAGCTGTTCTGAGCTCAGTTGGTATCAAACATTTGAAGCCACAGATCATCATCCAGAATAATCTAATAACCAACCCTGATCAACTGGGAGATATACTGATTTGGGGGCAGTTGCTGAGGGCAGACTCCTTCCTCTAATAGTTTAGTAGTTTACAGAAGGAGACAGACCCAGTGCTCCCTCTTTCCTTCTTATGAGAGAGATAGAGGAGAGGTTCTAGAATATTCCTCAGCTGCTTCTGGGTCTAATGGAGGATCACTCCTCTCAGTCCTCCTCTCTTTCATAACGGACCTTTTCCAGGGGCCCAGCTGGGTTTGAAGAGGAGCAGTAAATGCAGTACATTTATGTGGTGTCTATAACCAGGGTCGGGGAGTAACTGTCTGGAACCAGGGCTGGGGAGTAACTGTCTGGAACCAGGGCTGGGGAGTAACTGTCTGGAACCAGGGTTGGGGAGTAACTGTCTGGAACCAGGGTTGGGGAGTAACTGTCTGGAACCAGGGTTGGGGGGTAACTGTCTGGAACCAGGGTTGGGGAGTAAACTGTCTGGAACCAGGGTTGGGGGGGTAACTGTCTGGAACCAGGGTTGGGGGGGTAACTGTCTGGAACCAGGGTTGGGGAGTAACTGTCTGGAACCAGGGTTGGGGAGTAACTGTCTGGAACCAGGGTTGGGGGAGTAACTGTCTGGAACCAGGGCTGGGGAGTAACTGTCTGGAACCAGGGCTGGGGAGTAACTGTCTGGAACCAGGGCTGGGGAGTAACTGTCTGGAACCAGGGTTGGGGGGTAACTGTCTGGAACCAGGGTTGGGGAGTAACTGTCTGGAACCAGGGTTGGGGAGTAACTGTCTGGAACCAGGGTTGGGGAGTAACTGTGCGGGAACCAGGGTTGGGGAGTAACCTGTCTGGAACCCAGGGTTGGGGAGTAACTGTCTGGAAACCAGGGGTTGGGGAGTAACCTGTCTGGAACCTAGGGTGTGGGGAGTAACTGTCGGAACCAGGGTTGTGAGTAACGGTCCCAGGGTTGGGAGTAACTGTCTTGAACCAGGGTTGGGGAGTATCTGGTCTGTAACCCAGGGTTAGGGAGTAACCTGTCTGTAACCAGGGTTAGGGAAGTAACTTGTCCTGTAACCAGGGTTGGGGGAGTAACTGTCTGTAACCAGGGTTGGGGAGTAACTGTCTGGGAACCAGGGTTGTGGGTGTAACTGTCTGGAACCAGGGGTTGGGGGGTAACTGTCTGGAACCAGGGCTGGGGGAGTAACTGTCTGGAACCAGGGCTGGGGAGTAACTGTCCTGGAACCAGGGTTGGGGAGTAACTGTCTGGAACCAGGGTTGGGGAGTAACTGTCTTGAACAGGGTTAGGGAGTAACTGTCTGTACCAGGGTTGGGGGAGTAAACTGTCTGTAACCAGGGTTGGGGAGTAACTGTCTGGAACCAGGGTTGGGGAGTAACTGTCTGGAACCAGGGCTGTGGAGTAACTGTCTGTACCCAGGGCTGGGGAGTAACTGTCTGGAACCAGGGTTGGGGAGTAACTGTCTGGAACCAGGGTTGTGGAGTAACTGTCTGGAACCAGGGCTGGGGAGTAACTGTCTGGAACCAGGGCTGGGGAGTAACTGTCTGGAACCAGGGCTGGGGAGTAACTGTCTGGAACCAGGGTTGGGGAGTAACTGTCTGGAACCAGGGTTGGGGAGTAACTGTCTTGAACCAGGGTTGGGGAGTAACTGTCTGGAACCAGGGTTGGGGAGTAACTGTCTGGAACCAGGGTTGGGGAGTAACTGTCTTGAACCAGGGTTGGGGAGTATCTGTCTGTAACCAGGGTTAGGGAGTAACTGTCTGTAACCAGGGTTAGGGAGTAACTGTCTGTAACCAGGGTTGGGGAGTAA